CCCCATGCGCTCACCTTTGCGATTTCTTCTCAGCCCTGATATAAAGCTAGAATTTTGCCACCGTCCTCTGGAGTTAAAAGATCTCCACACGCATGTAGGTGTTTGATCAAGCAAAAACAAAACAAAACAAAAAAATAGTTTCCCTACCCTCCAGAAATAGTAATTTGCTTCCTCAGTCTATGCAGCTCCTCAGTCAACTGAAACCACTCGTTCAAGACAGCAACAATCCAGATATACTAGCAAGTCATAAAACTGAACAAAAGCCGACAAACCTTAGAGCACCATCGCTATATGGCCCAGACAAATTACGACCGTCTAGGTAATATTTAAATAGATTCCTAAAGTAATTGCAGGGGGTTTAGGCAACTATTCCTGTTGTAAAAGTTCTCGAAGACATAAAGTAGAACCTGAGGATAAACAGTCACAAAAAGAGGTAAAATTAAAAGGATTCATTCCACGGTTTTTTATTCTTCTATGAGAACATAAACATCGTCTTTTTCACGCACAGCAGCATTACAATATTAATTTATTCCGATTTAAGGTAAGAACTAGATATAGCTAGAACTAACATTTATAATAACGATAGAATGCATTTGCTTAAAACAGTATCGGCATTTTAATAATAATAGACATTTATACATATCTGTATTTATAGTTTTTCCCCTTCTTTCTTTTTTTTCTCTTTTTAAAATTTTTTTCACCTATATGTTTGACTCTAATGCATGTAACTTCACAGTATAAAGGAAGACGAACATATTCTCCCTCGCAATCTCGGACTCTGGCTCAGAAAGTCCTTCTGATGTTCAGGATATATACTTTTCAGTGAAATTAGTGAGGAAAAGTGACTACTTTCTTCTCAACGGGGAATTTCTGTGTGCTTGTCCTGCGTTACCAACGGTAACGTTATTTATAGACAAAAAATTTTCACTAATTCCACTTATTTAAGCAAAACTACATTAGGTAAATATCTACAACCAGAAAGAGCGAGAGAAATTCAGAGGTAAGTGTCATAATTTAGTCCATGAGCAACACAAACACTTTTATACCTTTAAAGAGAAGAGATTTCATTTTCCTGGCGAATTTTAAAGCTGTAATATCGACTTTTAAGGTAAAACAAACAAACAAAAAATTTCGCTCTTCACACCCGTTCCCATGAAGCCCTTTTAAAGGATGCCTGCGTTTCATTATTCTAAGTCCTGCTTTTTGAAGGAAAAAGGGGGGAGGGAGGGTGAAAGGAAAACGGAGGGGGGAGGAAGGTCCCAATGTAGAGAAATATGGCAAGTCTTAATTTCTTCATTCTGCAGCTGCGTACAGTCCGTGTTGCACCGCTGATAATTTAAAAGAGTGCGCCTTTAACCGAGCTTGTTTACTTTTCAGAGAGAGGTATGAGAGGAAAGATATTTGCAGCTCCTGAAACGGTGTTTCTGTGTTTCAAAGCTCAAAGGAACAAATCGGCCCTCGGGAAAGCTGAAAGAAGCGGGGAGCTTCACGCACGGCTTTTTGTGCATGAGCGTGGCTTTGGTCAGCCCCCCCACCCCAAAGTAGCTCTTGAGAGGTCGAGGGCATACTGAGAAAGTCTAAAAATCGTTAATCCATACAGGTGCGGATGACTACAGCCTAGGAAAATGATACTGGCTCTTTAAACCATAAAGATGTGTTTATAGGTTCATCAAGAGAAATTAAAGTTGGCTGTGAGTTCCCGAATCCTATTCTCTCTGTTCATTTTCTTCAGTTTCATTCTGCGGTTCTGAAACCAGATTTTAACTTGTCTGTCTGTGAGGTGGACTGTGCGGCTGATCTCTAGGCGACGCTCACGAGTCAGGTACATATTGAATAGAAACTCCTTTTCCAGCTCGAGAGTTTGATGCTTGGTGTAGGGGCACCGTTTCTTTCTGCCACTTTTTGCCGTGAGCCAGTTTGCTGCATTTTCTCCTTTTGAATTGCCTAGTTTTGAGAAAGTAAAAAAGGGACGTTACCAGCGGTTTCCCAAAGGCCCTGGAGTCGGCCGGGAAAATCTGCTCCTGCTCAAAAAGCTCCGGGTAGGCTCCGGCGGGATAGCGTGGCCCACCAGGCAGCTCACCTCCGACCCCCCAAAACAGGCTTTTACCCGCTCCCCCTCGGCCGCTCCGAGCCCAGCGTTACTGGGGGGCGGCTCGGGGAATGGCCTGGGGTCTGCTTTCCCCCTACGGGGCACCTGCTTCCGAAAAACCAAACCCTGCGGATCTGAACTTTGTAACTGTGCTCTGCAGGCAGAAAACAAGGTGAGCTGGGGAGCCGGAGCCTCCCCGCCTCCAGCCCCGGACTTCCCGGGGAGCTTCGCCCAGGCCCTCTCTTCTCCAACCACTTGGGGGGTGGGGGAAAAAAAAAGAAAATAAGATATTAAAAATCGCCCGTTGCAGGGTGTCTATTCCTATCAGTGAAAGCGACCGGGTAACACCGATCCCTCGATGGCTCGGAGTGGTTCGTGATTTGGGGTTGGCTCTCTAGTATTTTTCGTCTTTTTTTATTTTTAATCTTATCATTTTCCAAAGGGGCGCCTGAAGGAAATAGCAGGGCTTCTGAAATGCGGCCAGAGAGAAGAGCCTGGAAAGTCTGCCGCCCAGGGAAGGGGAGTGTCGTGGTTTTTTTTTTTTGCCGTGGGAACCCGAAAGGGAAATAAACCAGCAAATGAATAAATAACAACCCTGTTATCTAGTGTAGACGCTGAAGGATATTCGCGGTGCATTCATCAGTCTAATTTGATAGCAGTTCATAGATGGCACATTTCAGAGCGGCTGTTATTCCGAAAAGCATTCTGGATCGTAAAATATAACTTACCGCGTTAATAGGTTTATTTATTGGCACTGCCTATTGCTTATTTTGGATGCTTTACAAACATCTCTGTTATCTGGTAGGCACCTTCACATTACAGGGGAAAGATTTATCATGTTTTTCTATATGTTTAAGCAGCATGCGGGCTAAAGTCGCCCAGAGCGGAGGCTCTAAGAGTTTTAAGCTATAGGACGGACATTAATTTTTACGGCAACCCCATGCCCGAATATTACAAAGTTCAGAAGGTCAGTCTGAGCAGCGCTTCTTGGCAGCCCCGCGGGGCGGCTGGGATCCTCCATTCGCATCGCGATTGCCACGCTCCTCAACCGCCTTTTTTTTTGTATTAAAAAAAAAAAAAAATCCATCCCCACCGACATTCCCCACCGTCACCGTGCGCTTACCTACGGGCTCTTTCTCGGGAGAGGCTTTGCTGCTCTCGGACGGAGCCGGGGAGAGCTCCTCCGCGGTGGAAGACGAAGCCCGGGTCTCGTCCTCCCTCTGGGAGCCGCAGGCCGAGGGGCTGGGGGAACCCTCCGCATCCTCCTTCCTCCCCGCGTCCGGGACGGGAGGCAAAGATGGAGGCGCCTGGAAGCGGCCGGGGGGCTGCGGGGGGAAGGGGGCAGCCCCGGCCGGCCCCGCGCCGTAGCTCTTGGAGGTGCCGTAAGCCTGGGAGAGGCGGAAATAGCCC